AGTTGGAGACCAGCCTTACCAACATGTTGAAACCCTGTCTCTACTAAAAACACAAAAATTAGCTGGTGTGGTAGTGCACACCTGTAACCCCAGCTACTCGGGAGGCTGAGGCAGGACAATCACTTGAACCCAGGAGGGAGAGGTTGCAGTGAGCTGAGATCACGTCACTGTGCTCCAGCATGGGCAACACAGCAAGACCCTGTCTCAAAAAAAAAAAAAAAAAAGAAGAAAGAAAGGAAACTTATCAGTGAGATCCTATATATTCTTTGCTTAATTTTCCCCAAATGTAACATCTTACAAAACTACAGTACAATATCACAACCAGGATATTGCCCTTGATACAGAACATTTCCATCACCATCATTGTAAGCGATTTCTCTTCCTCTTGCCTTTTTATAGTCATAACCTTTATCTCCCCTTCCCTCCCAAGCCCTGAGAACCACTAAGCTTTTCTCCATTTGTATAGTTTTGCCATTTTAAGAATATGATAAAAATGGAATTATATAGTATAAACCTTTTGGAATCACCCCTTTTCACTCTGTATAAAGTCCCTCAAGATTCGTCCAAGTTGTTGAATCACCAGTTGACTCTATTTTTTTAATTTGAAAAATTGTGCTAAAACACAAATAACATAAAATTTACCATTTTAACTAGTTTCAAGTGTACAGTTCAGTGGCATTGAGTACATTCATGTTGTTGCGCTACCATCACCACCATCAGAACTTTTTCATCCTCCCCAACTGAAATCTGTACCCGTGAAACACTTTAGTCCCTTCCCCCAAACCCCAGCGTCCACTATTCCACTTTCCGTCTCTGTGAATGTGAATACTGTAGGTACTTGGTATAAGTGAAATCATACAGTATCTGATTTACTTCACTTAGCATAATGCCCTGAAGGTTCATGTTGCAGCCTATGTCAGAATGTCCATCCCTTTTAAGGCTGAATCATATTCCATTATGTATATACCACATTCTTCTGTTGAGGTATCGACACATGTACCTTTTGGCCATTGTGAATAATGCTGCTATGAACACAGGTGTACAAATAACCCTTCAAGACTCTGCTTTCCGTTGTTTTCAGTATGTACCCAGAAGCGGAATTGCTGGAGTGGGTCCCCTTCCCTCCCCACAGTAATTCTGTGTTTAATGTTTTTGAGTAACAGCTATACCTAGTGTTCTGTAGCAGCTGTACCATTTTACATTCCTACCACTAGTGAACAAGGGTTCCAATTCCTCCATGTCCTTGCTAACATCTGTTATCATTATAATACAAGGGCAGTGGTCCTCCCTTGACTTAAAAGACACATCTTCAGTATGGTCAGCGACTACTTAATGAATCATTTGTCTCTAGCTTCATTTTCAGGATGAAGACGTATGTCCATTATTCCTAGGTTAAAGTGCAGTTCATTAGTGCTGCTCTTAACTCTAGCTCCACTGTGGTTCTAAACACCTGGAGCCCATGTGTAGAACAACTTGCGTATCTCTACAGTCCAGGCCCAGGAGAAACTCACTCCCATTCTGACCAAAGATGTTTGTTCCCCAATACAATTATGTGGCGAATTAACCTTTTGCCCAAAAGTTCAGCCCATTGCTCACATCCTTTTGGCTCCTGGATGGTAGAATTTGAGGTTAGGTCAGGGATAAAGAATTATTTTGAACTCTACCAGCATGTACTTTTTACCCTAAAAAAATTCTGTAGGAGCTATTGTTGCATGCAAACACAAGGGTAGTGGTTATATGGTCAGGTAATAGGGAAGATTTTAGAGTTAGCGTGAATACTTTGATCAAATTATAAGGTATTTTAGTAGTCCTCAAACTTTGTGGTGAAATGGGTGAATTTACAGGATGTATTTTATTTTCCCATCTATAATTATGGGAAGAGGAAATTTAAAGACTGAAGGTAAAAATAAAACCCAGTGCAATAAGACGTGGAAGAGGAGCAAATGTCATGTATATAATTTGCTAGAATTCCCAGTTTCAAATTGGCCTGTTCCTCAGAGGTCTTTTATATCCAGTGGTGGTGTTTATATATAGCATGTTGTGACAGTGATCATTTACCCAGTAATATGCGGTGACACATGGCATAACTATGCATGCAGACAGCAGAAACCAAAAATACCTAACCCATAGAGATTAAAGTGACACTCAACATATGGGAAAGTATTGTGCTTTGTCTTCGCAGTGTTTCATTTATTATTAATTATTAATGTAATGGAGTGTTAATACTGGCTAGACGGTGCTAGAAATCCACATTGTTAATTCACAGGCAGACTTGAGACACATCGTATAGTGTGAATGTAAATCGTTGAAAGGAAGTCAGAGATTGACATTGCAGTTTGGATAAGTGAAGGGTAGGATTTGTCCTATGGACTGCTTTCCCAGCATCATCTGGGCCAACAATAAGGGAATATAATGTGGCCTTCATAGGGCTGTGATATTTAAAAAACTATGCAAGGGCTTTGGAAACAAGAAGAACAAGATTCATTTTCTGGCTTTGCCACTTACTGTGACTTTGGGCAAAAAATAACCACTCTGAGCCTCAGTTTTCTGATCTGCTAAATGGTGATAATACAGGTACTTCACAGGATATGTAGAGGTTTCATATATAAAATAACATGAGAGAAATTATATGAATAGTGCCTGCCATATAATTTGTGCTATACAAATGGTAGTTGCTCTCATCCCTTATTTACTTGCTACCTATTTGGTTGCAAAATAGGATTAAAATGATTTTTTAAATTGCCCAACTATTCAGCCATCAGTAACTCAGCAGTTAGTTGTCCCACTTCCAAATCCAGTGAACTGAGAGGAAAGTTACTTGTTGTAGTTTAACTTCTTGGGTTAATAGGAATGCTTTCAGAAGACATTAAATATATGAACAAAAGTATGTGGGGAAAGGCTTTTTCAAATAGGCCAGTTGTCAGATTCCTGCATAGGATACTTACCTTGTGTGTTTTTTTTGTTTGTTTGTTTGATTTTCTTTGAGACAGATTCTTGCTCCGTCGGCCAGGCTGGAGTGCAGAGCCGCAATCTCAGCTCACTGCAACCACCGCCTCCCGAGTTCAAGATTTTTCTGCCTCAGCCTCCCAAGTAGCTGGGACTACAGGCATGTGCCACCACGCCCAGCTAAATTTTTTGGTATTTTTAGTACAGACAGGGTTTCACCATGTTAGCCAGGATGGTCTCGATATCCTGACCTTGTGATCCACCTGCCTCAGCCTCCCAAAATGTTGGGATTACAGTGAGCCACTGCACCCAGCCCCTTGGATGTATTTTTAATTCTGGGTTATTTTCTTTTACAATAGATTTTATTTTTTTATGGTAAATTTTATTTTTCATTGATGGCCAAAGTATGTTCCTGCTTCTGCATTGTCCTCAGCTGACTGTTGTGAGATTAAGGAAAGGGCAGGGAATTTACAAATGAAATCACCAACCTACTCCTCCTGAACTATCCCTCTGGGCATAACAGGCAGTGCGTTACCCTAATTTATGCCTACTTTATGCCTCTGCCCTTGGGTTGGGTGCTATTATTCCTTGCTTTTCAGGTAAGGAAACTGAGGCATAGGACAAGTGTGTGCCAGGACCCAAACCTGATTCTGAAATCCATATTCTGTAACTGTCTATAGCTTGGCTGTATTTATTTTGTCACTGTTTTGTTTTTCACATTTTGGGAGTATAACAGAAAACCAAATCTCAGTTATATTTAATTAAATTTTCAGAAACGATCCTTGAATCCTTTTGGAGGTTAACTATCTTAAATTAAGTGGTATTTGAGCATTTTGCCACACTACTTGGAGAACAATCTATAGCCAGGATTTAGTTAGAATACCTTATGTATAACAGTTCTTTTTATTCCAGAATATTTTTTTTAAATCAGCTATATTCTTTTTTTTTTTTTCTTTGAGACGGAGTTTCGCTCTTGTTACCCAGGCTGGAGTGCAATGGCGCGATCTCGGCTCACCGCAACCTCCGCCTCCTGGGTTCAGGCAATTCTCCTGCCTCAGCCTCCTGAGTAACTGGGATTACAGGCATGCGCCACCATGCCCAGCTAATTTTTTGTATTTTTAGTAGAGATGGGATTTCACCATGTTGACCAGGTCTCGATCTCTTGACCTCGTGATCCACCCGCCTCGGCCTCCCAAAGTGCTGGGATTACAGGCGTGAGCCACCGCGCCCGGCCAAAATCAGCTATATTCTTGAATAAACTATTTTAGTTAAACATGAAATGTGGGTTTTGTTCACCAAATAAAAATGTACAGGCAGTAAGGAAAGTTTTATTTTACTCTGGCTGCTATCTTCATCTTTCTTCTCCTGTTTTGTTTTGGTTTTGTTTTGTTTCATTGACTGGAAAACAAAGATTTATTTCCCTGCTTGATTTTAAACAGGCTTTGCCAAATTGATGCCTGAGAACCAGTTTCTATGAGAACTCTCTTCTGGAGATGTACAACCATGTAACTCTGTATCTCCTCTCATATCCGACTGCTTGTTTCCAATCTTTTGACTGCTTCCTTGCTTTTTATGCCTTTATCTTTGCTTATTTGAATTAGGTACTTCTCTGCCACCTTTCACCTGCTCTTTTTCTGTGCCATTGTTTTCCTTGCTACCCTACCTAAAACCAGGCCCTAGAGAAACAGAAAGAATACATTGCCTGCCTTAGGAATGAGCGAGATATGCTCAGAGAGGAGCTGGCTGACCTGCAGAAGACAGTGAAGACGGGAGAGGTAGGTTAGCATGAGCCTGGAGTTCAGGTCCCTCGCTGCTGTACTCTGGCTTTCTTCCTTTCACCCTGCCATCTTTCCTAGCCTGAATACAAACTACAGTGTTTATTCCTAATCCAGATTTGGTAGTTTTAAGCTATTTCTTCCACAGAGCTATATTCCATGTAACTGATTCTAACCAGATTTTACCTGTGGCAAACATGTATTGTTGCAGAATTACCTCAAAGAGCTTACTGCTTCCATATGGGCCTTTTGTGATGGTGGGTTTTTCTTCTCCTGCAGAAACATGGCTTAGTTATAATCCCCGATGGCACTCCCAATGGTGATGTCAGTCATGAACCAGTGGTTGGAGCCATCACTGTTGTGTCTCAGGAAGCTGCTCAGGTCTTGGAGTCAGCAGGAGAAGGGCCGCTAGGTAAGATACTGGTTGCTATGTTGACATGGATGAATGTTGTCCTATTGGGTTTTCTGCTTTTTCATATTCCAGCTTGGAATACAAAAACAGCATAAAGGTTGTCTGAGACTCAAGTGGATCCTTAACCAGAAGAATCTGGGCACCTTAGCACACTGTCTTCAGACATCCTTGACCTTGGGAAACCAGCATCTGAGTCATTGTAAGGCAATAAGTGTAACTATAAGGTCCGTGGATGGAAGTATTGTGGGTCTATACACATTGCTTTTTACTTAACTGCAAACTTTCTGCAAAGGATAGTCTAGTCTACCTGTGCTAGGGGAGCAGGAGGCTGGCAGACTTCCCTTGGAACATCTGGTTTTACGTTCCACTACTTACTCCAGGTGCCTCTTTTCCACCACATTTCTTTTTTTTTTTTTTTTTTTGAGATGGAGTTTCGCCCTTGTTACCCAGGCTGGAGTGCAATGGCGCGATCTCGGCGCACCGCAACCTCCGCCTCCTGGGGTCAGGCAATTCTCCTGCCTCAGCCTCCTGAGTAGCTGGGATTACAGGCACGTGCCACCATGCCCAGCTAATTTTTTGCACTTTTAGTAGAGACGGGGTTTCACCATGTTGACCAGGATGGTCTCGATCTCTCGACCTCGTGATCCACCCGCCTCGGCCTCCCAAAGTGCTGGGATTACAGGCTTGAGCCACCGCGCCCGGCTCCACCACATTTCTTAAGCCAAGAAACAGATGACCAAAAAGATAGATATCAGAGAAGTGTGATTTCCAGAGTCTCAACCTCTTAAATTTAACCTTTTGAGAATGACACCTCTCTCCAGGAAACTCCAAAGTTGCTGACAAGCCTCTCCAAGAAACCAAAGCCACCCATCCACTGACCCCACTAAGAAATCTACTCTAGAGGAAGAAAAATGGCACACATAGATACTGTATTATTAGCTAACTTTTATTTTTTAAAAAACAATTTTTTCCCTTTTCATTTTGTTTTCATATATGTGTTAGCTTCTTAGAGGAGTGAGCAATGTGTGAAGCAAACTGAGAAACATTTTAAAAGTGAGCACATCCTCTAATGTGGAGCATTCCAGAAACATGATTGTAGGGTACTTTGAATAAAGCAGGATGCTGGGTGAGGGTGAGCAAGAGAGATCTGGAGAATGGAAAGAGAATATGGCCATAGGCAGCCCAGGGTGCTTCCCCGTGGCTGTTTCCCTGGTCTGCAGGTCCAAACAGGCAGATCTGCTTGGAAGGTGCAGAAGAAACCAGGATCTATATATGGCTGTGACCCTACCTGTTTATAGAGGGTAGTGGCTGGCCAGCTGTCAGCTGCTTTTTTAACTGCACCACGGTATTTCTTCAGCTTAAGGGGCCTATTTTAATGCAGGCTTGGGAAGAGTCAACCCCTCCAGAGGCCAGGAGTGAGCCCTAATGTTGCTGCTACCAAGCCTCAGATCATCCATGGATGCCCACATCTTTTTTTTTTTTTTTTTTTTCTTGAGACAGAGTCTCACCTGGTTGCCCAGGCAGGAATGCAATGGTGTGATCTCAGCTTACTGCATTGTGCAACCACTGTCTCCCGGGTTCAAACAGCTTTCTGAGTAGCTGGGATTACAGGCACCTGCGATCATGCCTGGTTAATTTTTCTATTTTTTTTAGTAGAGACAGAGTTTCACCATGTTGGCCAGGCTGGTCTCGACTCCTGACCTCAAGTGATCCACTCACCTAGGCCTTCCAAAAGTGCTGGGATTACAGATGTTAGCCACGGCGTCTGGCCCAGCTGCCCACATTTTGGAGTGGGTCCCCTTCCCTCCCCATTGGCTTTTGGGGACTTTGCTTCCTCCACTATTGTGTTCCTCTCTTTTCTCTCCTCCAGCTTCCTTCGCCCAGTCCTGCTGTTAGCCATCTTCTTTCACATATTTGGCTGTCTTCCGCTAAGGGCTCAGCCTGTGGGAACACATTTGACATTTGAGTTGTCTGTCTACTAGTGAAGACTTGAAACAAGGAAATGACTTCCTTTGTACTTCAGTTTGTCTTTAAGTGGCAAATCACTGCTTTGGGGAGCAAATGTTGCTTTGGTGTCCTGACAAGTATCAGTTGTGTGGAAGTACGTTTTAGATAATTAGGAACTGTTCTGTAATGCTACTAAAACCTTTATTTCTTTAGATATTCATAGCTGTAAGTAGTGTAGCTTATCAGGTAATATTACCCGTTTACATACCATATCATCACATTTAGTTTACGATCTTTTTCATTTGTTTTAGATGTAAGGCTACGAAAACTTGCTGGAGAAAAGGAGGAACTGCTGTCACAGGTAAAGGTATTCTTTCTTTTTTTTAAGAGAAAAAGAAAAAATAATAATAATAATAAAAAAGAATGAAGGAGAGGAAGAAAGAGGAAGAGAAAGAGGGAGAGAGAACGGGGGTGTTGCTTTGTTGCCTGGGCTAGAATGCAGTCTAAAAATGGGTATGCCTGTAACTGTGCTTAATAATGGAGACACGAAAAAGATGAGGGAAGAAAATAACAAGCAAGCAGCCAACCAATATTTCATTTAAACCTCTAAGTAGGTGTGATGTGGTACTGATAAGTGTGTGTATTTTGTGTATTTAAAGTGGAGAGTTCTATAAATGTTAATTAAGTTTACTTGTTCCGGATCCGAGTTCAAGTCTTGGATGTCATTGTTAATTTTCTGTCTCACTGATCTTGTCTAATGTTGATGCTGAAGTTTCCCACTATTATTGGGAAACTTAATATATGTGAGTTTAATACTGCCATTTAATGTTAGCTGGCTGTTTTGCCCATTAGTTGATGTAAATTCTTCATTATGTTGATGCTCTTTACTTTTTGGTATTTTTTAGAAAGGCTGATACTGGTTGTTCCTTTACGTATGTAGTGGTTCTTTCAGAAGCTCTTGTAAAGCAGGCCTGGTGGTGATGAAATCTCTGAGTACTTGCTTGTTCACAAAAGATTTTATTTTTCTTTCACTTATGAAGCTTAGTTTGGCTGGATGTGAAATTCTGGGTTGAAAGTTCTTTTCTTTAAGGACGTGGAATATTGGCCCCCACTCTCTTCTGGCTTGTAGGGTTTCTGCTGAGAGATCTGCTGTGAGTCTGATAGGCTTCCCTTTGTGGGTAACCTGACCTTTCTCTCTGGCTGCCCTTAGTATTTTCTCCTTCATTTCAACCCTGGTGAATCTGACAATTATGTGCCTTGGGGCTGCTCTTCTTGAGGAATATCTTTGTGGTGGTCTCTGTATTACCTGGAGTTGAATATTGTCCTGCCTTGCTAGGTTGGGAAAATTTTCTTGAATAATATCCTGAAGCGTATTTTCCAGCTTGGATTCATTCTCTTTGTCACATTCAGGTACACCTATCAAACGTAGATGAGGTCTTTTCACATAGTCCCATATTTCTTGGAGACTTTCTCGTTCCTTTTTATCCTTTTTTCTCTAATCTTGTCTTCTCGTTTTATTTCATTGAGTTGGTCTTCGACCTCCGATATCCTTTCTTCTGCTTGATCAGTTCAACTGTTAAAACTTGTGCATACTTCTTGAAGTTCTCGTGTTGTTTTTCAGCTCCATTAATTCACTTATATTCCTCTCTAAATTGTGTATTCTTGTTAGCATTTTGTCAAACCTTTTTTCAGAGTTCTTAGTTTCTTTGCATTGGGTTAGAACAAGTTCTTTTAACTCACAGAAATTTCTTATTATCCACCTTTTGAAGCCTGCTTCTGTTAATGGAACACACTCATTTTCCATCAAGCCTCGTTCCGTTGCTGATGAGGAACTGTGATCCTCTGTAGAGGGAGAGGCGTTCTGATTTTGGGTATTCTCAGCCTTTTTAGGCTGTTTTCTTCCCTTTGTTGTAGATTTATCCATCTGTGGTCTTTATAATTAGCGTCTTTGTAATTGGGTTTCTGAGTGGACATCCAAGTTGTTGATTCCTAGCGCCGGAATCTGAGCAACCCACTGTGCTGGCTAAAACAGCAGCGTTCAGATTGATGGTGCTTTTCTGACTCTGCACCAAGAACCGTCGCACCAAGGCAAAAGCGCCTCGCCAGCCACAAGAGTCGTGCTGGCAACCCGTGGGGCTCCTCTGCTGGGAATCTCCTGGTGCATGAGCAACAAAAATTCATCTGAAAGTGTGGTGTCCTCTCGTTCTCTGCACTTTCACTGGGAGCTACGATCCCGAGCTGCTAGTGATCAGCCATCTTGGATCAGTAAAGGCCTTCTTACTGGAATGTAATATAATTTTTACAAAGTTACATGGTAAAATACTAGCTAACTGAAATGTACATTAGAAAGAATTATGCTTATTTCAAACATCAGTACTCAAGTGAGATCTGAAGGATAGATAATTCATATTTTGCCTCTGTTTTTTCTGTTCTTAAAAAAAAAAAATTTAAGGGCACATAGTGTAAGGAGTCATACAGTTTTCTACAAAGCTTGTTATGAGCATAGCAGTCCCCTGCCCTGGCTCCTGTGTCCTCACCACTGACCATTTCTGTTAAGTGCTGTTAGCTGATTCTTGTGTACTGTCCTTGTATCTCTGTATAACATACTTGTGTTGCTTCTTGATCGTTCTGCTTCAGGCATTCTATATTGACATCCCTTTAGGAAGATGAGGATTTAGCTCTTTCATCCTCTGTCCCTGCCACACATACACATATTTCCCACTCCCATATCCTCCTAATAAAGGAACAGTCTGCTTGTGTCATTAGGACCCTCTAAACACTACTCACAGTGGCGCCAGATTGCATTTGGGTATCACGGTTTTCTCCTTCACAACCATTAGTTTCCTCTAAAGTTAACGTTATGGGTTTTTCTTTGTATTTGCTTGGTTTTCTGTCATCAGTTTAGCCAGTCTCCAAGAGTAGATTAAATCCACTCAGGATTTTCAGATGCATATGGCATTCTTTCAGTTCCAGTTTGTTGAATCTTGGTGCATCTGACTTGTCCCTTTCTAAACTAACGGCTTGCTCTCTCCTTACACAGATGATGGTCACCCTTCACTGACATCTGGGGATTCTTTGGGTTGGGTTTCCTTTTTCTGGTGTCTTATGCCTTGCTCCTTATTTATTCTCTTATTTTGGTACATCTTCTAGTAACTTCCTGAGAATAGGGTTTGTGGGTTGTTAATTTTTCATGACCTTGCAGGCCTGAAGATGTCTTCATTTTGCCCTCTTTCTTGATTAAAATAGTTCAGCCGGGTATAGAATCCTGAGTTGCAATTGTTCTCCTTAAGTTTTTTTAAAAAGACATTTCCTCGTTGTGCTGTGGCTTCAAGTATGGCTACTGAGATTACATGAACGTTTTGAGTTCTGATCTTTTCTGATTTGTTATCTATTTTTCTCCTCTTTTTGGAAGCTTGTGTCCTATTTCTCTAGTGTTATGGTGTAATTTGAAGATAGTGATGTGAATTGAAGTTTTCATGTGTGATGCTGGGCCCCTGTCAATTCTAGGAGCACGTATTCTTTAGTTCTGGGAAAATTTCTTTTTTTTTTTTTTTTTGAGACGGAGTTTTGCTCTTGTTACCCAGGCTGGAGTGCAATGGCGCGATCTCGGCTCACCGCAACCTCTGCCTCCTGGGTTCAGGCAATTCTCCTGCCTCAGCCTCCTGAGTAGCTGGGATTACAGGCACACGCCACCATGCCCAGCTAATGTTTTGTATTTTTAGTAGAGATGGGGTTTCACCATGTTGACCAGGATGGTCTCAATCTCTCGACCTCGTGATCCACCCGCCTCGGCTTCCCAAAGTGCTGGGATTACAGGCTTGAGCCACCGCGCCCGGCACGGAAAATTTCTTAAATGATTTTGTTACTGATTTTTTTTTCCCTCCCATATGCTCTGTGTTCTCTGTTTTGGAACTCCTATTCAGTCATTCAACAAATGTTGAGGTTCTGCTATTTAACATGCGTTATTCTAGGCAATTGAGATATTTCAGTGAATAAGTTAGTTTAGAAAAAAATTCCTGCCTGAGGGACATTCTAGTACAAAAACATCAGACAATAAACAATATATGATAGAGAAGGTTTGTGTGAATGCATTTATTATATGTGTTTCTCTGGCTACTTTCTGCTGCATAGGGGTAGGCATGGAGTGGGTAGAGAGCTAGATTTTACCAGGACAGTATTAATGGGGCAGGAGAGGTGAGGGAGTTTGTAAGAAAATGATTATAATGATGGACCTTAAGATTAAACTGGATGAAGAGAATTTCGGAGATATTTAGGCACACATCAGGTATAGTAGAGAAATGTAATCTGTAGATTAGTGGTACCAGCATGGTTGAAGGATTATTGGAATTCTGGTCTAGAAAGAATGACCTAGAAAGATGAGGAATAGTGGTTAGAGGATCCATGGAACTAAATTGTGTAGGGATTACAACTGTCTAATGACGAGATCTAGTATTCGACTGTGAGAGTGAGTAGCTGAGGGTAAGAAGAGATAGAAGATCCTTAGAAGGAAGGTGGGTTAGTCCATTTTTTGCTTTGCTATAAAGGAATATCTGAAGCTGGGCAATTTATAAAGAAAAACGTTTTCAGTGGGTACAGTGGCTCAAGCCTGTAATCCCAGCACTTTGGAAGGTTGAGGCAGGTAGTTGAGGTTGAGTGTCAACACCAGCCTGGCCAACATGGTGAAACCCCAACTCTACTAAAAAGTATATAAAATTAGCCAGGCATGGTGGCGGGCACCTGTAGTCCAGCTATGTGGGAGGCAGAGGCAGGGAGGGAGGCAGAGGCTGCAGTGAGCCAAGATCAAGCCACTGCACTCCAGCCTGGGTGGCAGAGTGAGACTTTGTCTCCAAAAAAAAAAGAAAAGAAAAAGAGGTTTAATTGGCTCATGGTTCTGCAAGCTGTACAGGAAGCATGGTGTCATCATCTGTTAAGCTTCTGAGCTGTTTCCTGAGCCTCAGGCCAGGCTGGTCTTCAACTCTTAACCTCAGGTGATCCGCCCACCTTGGCCTACCAAAGTGCCACCACGCCCAGCCGGCCTCAGGAAACTGCTAATCACAGAAGAAGCTGAAGTGGGAGTAGACACGTGTAAGTCAAGAGTGGAAGCCAGAGTGGGGAGGTGACATACACTCTTAAACAACCAGATACCGTGTGAACTACCAGAGCAAGAACTCGCTCAACACCAACGGAATGGTGCAAAGTCATTCATGTGGGATCTGCCCCACGACCCAGATACCGCCTACCAGGCCCCACCTACAGCACTGGGGATTACATTTCAGCATGAGATTTGGAGGGGACAGACATCCAGACCTTATGCGGAGGTGTTCCAGAAATTGAGAGATCATTTGTAAGGGAGATCCTCTGCTTAGATATACATTGAACTTGCCAAAAATTCAGACAGGAATAGTCCAGAGGGAGTGCAAGTTGGGAGCTATTTAATAAATGGTAGTGAAGGAATGGGATTATGGCAATGATAAGTAGTTGGTATATATAATTTGAAGAGATGAGATTAAGACCTGGGACTTTTAGGGAAGATGGAGGGAAAATAACACTAAGGAAAGCAAGAGGACACCTATTCCATTTTTAAGTTCAGTGGTAAGAGGCTGTGGAAGTAAAAAGCCAGTGCTTGGCTGGACATGGTGGCTCATGCCTGTAATCCCAGCACTTTGGGAGGCCAAGGTGGGTGGATTGCTTGAGGTCAGGAGTTCAGGACCAGCCTGGCCAACATGGTGAAACCCCGTCTACTGAAAATACAAAAATTAGGATTGCTGGCATGTGCCTGGAATTCCAGCTACTTGAGGGGGCTGAGGCAGGAGAATTTCTTGAACCCGGGAGGTGGAGGTTGCAGTGAACTGAGATGACACCGCTGCACTCCAGTCTGGGCCACAGAGCAAGACCCTGTCTCAAAAAAAAAAAAAAAAAAAAAAAAAAAAGCACGAGCTGCAGAAGCAGGATTCTTAAGGGAGAGGGTTCTCATCAGAACATGAGGGTAAAGGGAGGATGCTCAGAGAAGAGATCGAGGGCAGATGGTTTGCTGATAATGGACTGGTAATTCTAGAAGGCACAGTGGAAAACTTTCAGGCATTGGGAAAGGTTAGGAGATGAAGGTTAGTGGCATACAGACCCTTGTGAGAAAGATGCAGAAGAAGGACATGACCCTTTGCAAGATGCACATAAATAGTAATGATAGAGATGAGATTAGTCCTGGTTCCTTCAAGGCAGCTGAAGATGGTGACCCTATGTGTGTTGAAAGGGCAGAGGTGTCTTGGAAGCATAGATTTACTTAGATTAGTCCCAATACACAGCTCACCCTTTTCCCATTGGGGACTGGCAAACTTAATCTTAGTGCAGAAGCTTCCCTTTGACCCCTTTTGATAGAGTTCAGGACAGCTGGGAAGCCATCTCTATATATCCAGTTATTTTTATATACAGAAAGTTTTCTAAGTAAGAAAATTTAACCTATGTGTAAAAGTAAACAACAAAAAACTGCTCATGGACTCTTCCATTTTTAAAAATAATCCATTGAATATATCCCATCAAATAACTGTTGACATTTTTGTTTTATTTTATTTTAGAGATGACGTCTTACTATGTTGCCCAGGTTGGTCTCGAACTCCTAGGCTCATGTGATTCTCATGCCTCGGCCTCCCAAGTAGCCGGATATATAAGCACATGCCACTGTGCCTGGCTGGAATTTTCCATTTTATTTTTATTTTTATTTTTTGAGACGGAGTTTCGCCCTTGTTACCCAGGCTAGAGTGCAATGGCGCGATCTCGGCTCACCACAACCTCTGTCTCCTGGGTTCAAGCAATTCTCCTGCCTCAGCCTCCCAAGAAGCTGGGACTACAGGTGTGCGCAACCATGCCCAGCTAATTTTTGTATTTTTAGTAGAGACAGGGTTTCACCATGTTGACCACGATGGTCTTGATCTCTTGACCTCGTGATCTACCCACCTCGGCCTCCCAAAGTGCAGGGATTACAGGTGTGAGCCACCACGCCCGGCCTGGAATTTTCCATTTTAAATAGAAGTAACAGAAAATACCCCAAAGATGTACTGTTCCACAAGCAGACACAAATTTAAAATATGGCTACTTTTATTGGGACACCTGGTCCTGGGGCTTGCTCTTTTCGGTGTTTATTCATAGCTTATCTTTAGCACCTAGGACAGTGTGTCTCCTGTTAGGCACTCAAGAAAACAGGTTTTGAATGAATTAATGATTTGTGTGGCTATTATGATAAGGGTCTGCTTTGTTCTATGATGTGGCCATAGAGCAAGCATTGGCTTCATTTGAGAGACTGGAACTTGCTGATGAACCTTTATTTTCATTTCAGATTAGAAAACTGAAGCTTCAGTTAGAAGAGGAACGACAGAAATGCTCCAGGAATGATGGCACAGTGGGTGACCTGGCAGGACTGCAGAATGGCTCAGACTTGCAGTTCATTGAAATGCAGAGTAGGTACCAGAGGACAGGCCAGTCCTGGTCTATGTGTAGACTGTCCCAGGAGTGGGTTTGTCAGCAGGCTTCTGGAGTCTTGTAATATACTTTTTTTTTCTTTTTGAGAGGCATCTTGCTCTGTCGTCCACACTGGAGTGCAGTGGTGTGATCAGCTCCCTTCAACCTCCGCCTCCTGGGTTCAAGCAATTCCCTGTCCTGAGAAGCTGGGATTACAGGCATCTGCCACCACCCCTGGCTAATTTTTATATTTTTAGTAGAGACAGGGTTTCAGCATCTTGGCCAGGCTGGGCTTGAACTTTTGACCTCGTGATCCACCCGCCTCAGCCTCCCAAAGTGCTGGGATTACAGGTGTGAGCCACCAGCTTACATTTTTCTTTTTTTTTTTTTTTGAGACTGGTTCTCACTCTGATGCCCAGGTTGGAATGCAGTGGCACAATCTTAGTTCGCTGCAGCCTGTTTTTCAGGTTCAAGCGATGCTCCTGCCTCATGCTCCCGAATAGCTGGGATTACAGTCGCCTCCCACCATGCCCAGCTGATTTTTTGTGTTTTTAGTAGAGACTCAGTTCCACCATGCAGGCTGGTCTTGAACTCCTGGGGCCTCAGGTGATCCACCCGCCTCAGCCTCCCAAAGTGCTGGAATTACAGGCGTGAGCCACCACACCCGGCCATAATACGCTTTTCTTAAGAGATATGCTACAGAGATTGGTTAGTCCTTGGCCAGTCCAGAAAAAGTCCTAATCAGCAATATAGCTGAATAGAGCGCTCCTAGCCTCACGTGTGCTTCAGGGGATGATGAGGTTTATTGCTCTTACTCTTTCTGAGTAAAGTGATTTCCAGGAACTTCTTGCACATAGTGAAATTCCTTTTGACAACCTGGCACTATCCTTTTCCACACCTATGTGTCATCTTTAAGCTCCCATACAGTAAGCTGCCTTCCCCATTAAAGTTTTTTTCTCTGGAATTTATTTTGGTTAATTGGAGGAATATATTTGGAACTACTTTAAACTAAACTGAACAGTTTCAGAATTTTCCTAGAAGTATTTTTATTAATCCAAATTAATCTTTATTAGATGAAATGTAAAATAAGTCCACAAAGTAACATCTATTCATTTTACCCAGATTATTCCAGTTTTTCTCACTTTCTACTTTTGACCTCATAATAAAATGATCACTGTATTCACACTAATTCCCATGGTAGGAAGATTTCAGCAGCAATTTGTAGTTAGCCTTTGTTAGTGAATCTGTATAATTCTCAGACATTTTAATTTTTCCAATAAAAATAGTGACTATTCTGATAACTAATATTAAAAATCTTGTTTATTCCCTAGACTTTTCATCTAAATCTTCTGAGATAGGCTGCCAAGAAAAGAGTTCTTGGGGCCAGGATGAGGTGGTGGATTGCTTGAGCTCAGAAGTTCAAGACCAACCTGGGCAATGTGGTGAAAACCTGTCTCTGAGAAAAAAAAAAAAAAAAAAAAAAAAAGAGTAAAGGTTTTTTGGATTAAGGCTTATTAACTTTTGATATTGGTATTATCTCTTCTATTAGACATCAGTTGGGACACTTGTGACATTTCCTGGTGCATATTTTGTTCAAAAATGCCATTTTGGTGTGGAGAGTGGATGAGGACAGGGACATAGGAAGAGACAGACAGACTAGTTAGGAAGCTACTATGATGGTGAGCCTGAACCAGTTCAGTGGCTGTCAACAGTCTCAGAGAGAGGGTAGGGGACAGATCTGAGAGATTGTCCTTATGCAGCAAATTTAAAAGGAATTTATATGCGAATGCTTCCTAGAATAGGTAGGTGTCGAATAGCAGGTATTTTAAGAAGGTAAAGTACCCAGGGAGGAGGTGTGGAACGGAGAGAGCTTTGCAGAACTGTGGGAAAGCTGGACAAAAGCAAGCAGCTCCCCTGGACGAGAAGGCCAGGAGTGGAGCAACTCTCGGTTCTGGACAGTGCCTTCTTCTTATGCAAGTGTTTTGGAATGGGATTTCAAAACACACGTGAAATTACTGAGACAAAGGACTTAAGCTTTTGAAAACAAGACGGAAAGGTGGTTTGGAGAGTGAGAAGGAAGCAGCACATTTGGATAATCAATAGGTTGCTGAGGTTAACAATTTAAAAATAAGATCCTGGGCCGGGCGCGGTGGCTCAAGCCTGTAATCCCAGAACTTTGGGAGGCCGAGGCAGGTGGATCACGAGGTCATGAGATCAAGACCATCTTGGTCAACATGGTGAAACCCCGTCTCTACCAAAAATACAAAAAATTAGCTGGGCATGGTGGTGCGTGCCGGTAATCCCAGCTACTCAGGAGGCTGAGGCAGGAGAATTGCCTGAACCCAGGAGGCGGAGGTTGCGGTGAGCCGAGATCGCGCCATTGCACTCCAGCCTGGGTAACAAGAGTGAAACTCCGTCTCCAAAAAAAAATAAATAAATAAGATCCTGAAGCTTCTTTTAGAGTTCAGAAATAGGAATAGTTCTCTTTCACTACCAGATACGGCTTTTGGGGAGATGGTAACCCTGTTACTTTTAAGGTGACAGTAACTGTCCAATTAGAAAAATCTCTCACATTGAAGACTATAGATAATTGTAACCTTGGTCATGTGGAAATGTAGCAAAGTTCTTAAGTTTGATAATCTGAGTATTTCCGGTGGTAGGTTAGATTTGGTTATCTTTTGGAAATCTTATTACTCTAATCATGCCAGAGACTGGTTTTTGCTAAATTTGGATTCTTGGAGGGATTTTAAAAGTCCCCCCGCCCACCAATCATTTCTAAACTTTTCATTTTAAGTGATTTACTTCCTAGGTCAGATGTTCGTCTGATAACTTACAGCTCTACCCATAACACATTATCATGTTACTTAACAGCATTTATTCCAGCGTATATTGATTTAAGCATACACTATGTGCAAAGCACTTGGCTAGGTACAGAGGTAGATTTTTTTTTTTTTTTTTGAGACGGAGTTTCGCTCTTGTTACCCAGGCTGGAGTGCAATGGCGCGATCTCGGCTCACCGCAACCTCCGCCTCCTGGGTTCAGGCAATTCTCCTGCCTCAGCCTCCTGAGTAGCTGGGATTACAGGCATGCACCACCATGCCCAGCTAATTTTTTGTATTTTTAGTAGAGACGGGGTTTCACCTTGTTGACCAAGGTTGGTCTCGATTTCTTGACCTTGTGATCCACCCGCCTCGGCCTCCCAAAGTGCTGGGCTTGAGCCACCGCGCCCGGCCACAGAGGTAGATTTAAGAAGGCCAAGACAGGCCCCCTCTCCTTATATACATATACGATGTTTAAGAAGCATGATAAATGTCATAAAATGCAAATAAAATACAGCAAGAGAAAGAGTTATAATTAACTAAGGAGAGACATGTAGGAGGTGAAACTTGAGCTTGGCCTTGAAAGTTGTTTATTACTTAAGTCAAAAGTGGGAGAAAAGGACCCTTAGGGTATTGGACAGCGGAAGCAAAACCTGGAAGATGGGAAGGTCTGGGCCCAGTCCCATGGCCATGGAGGCTCCATAGGCTCCACATAAGGTTGGCAGGGGCTGCTGCTGAATTGGCAGGGCTCCTTTCTCAAGCTCTGCTCACACACATCATAGGGTGAAGAATGAATTTTCTTCTAACTCTTGCTGCAAGTTATACTGTAGTATAGTAAGTGCTAGAGCATCTTGTAGTATATACCGTCCAGAACCTGGGCTGCTGAAGATGCTGTGGTTGTTGTGTGTGCATTTGTATTTTGTAATCTTAAAGACTGCATGGTCCTCTAGGTGCCGCAAAGGCACTGCCTGATGGCTCATACTGTCCATCTCTGACAGGTGAAGGTAATTCATTGTTATCTTCTGTTCTAGGAGATGCCAACAGACAAATTAGCGAATACAAATTTAAGCTTTCAAAAGCAGAACAGGATATAACCACCTTGGAGCAAAGTGTAAGTACTTTTATATAGTACCAGGTGATCTAAATGTCCTTCCTGCATCTAAGTGGCTAACAGCCCCATGAATGCCTGGGTTGCCTTGGGATGCCTTTGCAGTTGGATCCATTAAAGTTCTGTATTAAAATAGAAAAGCCAGCAGAGAGCACTTGGTGGGGCATTTTAGCCTTCTGTTTTCTCTAAAAACATAGGAAACTAGAGCTGTCATTGTTTTTTGTAGATATTTCAAGAGAATTCAAGATCATCATTTGCAACAAAATCCCTTAGTATACATTCCAGAAAGTTTTAAGAACTTTTCCATTTAGTGAGTCTCTTTGGCACTTAAACAATATGGTCATCATAAAACTTAGCATGGGAAATTGGCCCTAAAATGACTCTACAGCTGTAATCCTCTCTGGGGACATTTCCTGATTTATAAATAGCAATGAGTTCTGAGAGGACCTATGACTCACCCTTAGGGGACTTGTGTTAGATTACTTGGCATTTATAACAACGTTGCATTTCCATCTTGGCTACCAAAAAGTGGTGACTTCTGGTGCCCAGTAATAGAGGCCTGTGTTCTTAATACTTACAGATTAGCCGGCTTGAGGGACAGGTTATGAGATATAAAACTGCTGCTGAGAATGCTGAGAAAGTTGAAGATGAACTGAAAGCAGAAAAAAGGAAGCTACAACGAGAGGTACGTCATAGGCTTCTTGGAAAATACATTCCTAAACATATCTTTTGGAAATAAATTCTTAGCTCTGTAAGAAATGTGATACTTAAGGAAACAGCAGTGGAGTCACTTATTAAGTTGTGTTGGTTTTTGACCTTCAAACTGACTGCCATCTACTTTTATGGTTTGGTCAATTAGATAGTAAGTCAGTTTTTGTTTTTGCTTCAGATCAGGGCTGTTTCTCCAATTTCATCCTTTCTGTGATTAAAACAAATAAAGAATCCTCAGTATCATCATTTAATACCTCTACCTGACAGAAAAAATGAGGCTGTGTGTCCTGCACAGGGCCACAGTTAGCAGTGCATTCATTTTCCAGGAAGATGAAAATAAAGTAGCATTGCATGTTGTTTCTGACCACACGTAGTGACTGCACTCTCCCTGTCTCCAGTTACGAACAGCACTGGACAAGATTGAGGAGATGGAGATGACCAACAGCCACCTGGCCAAGCGACTGGAGAAGATGAAGGCCAATAGAACAGCACTTCTGGCCCAGCAGTAGGAAGACCACCCTTCGGCCTGGGTGCTGCTCCTTGGGGCCCTACCTAGAGGGACTGACTTTTGTCCATTGACACAAACCCCTTTTAGTACTGTTTTGAGTTTTGTCGTTAAAACAGCCACCTTTGTATTTTATAATTTATGAGCGAATGAAGCCGGTTTGAATCTTCGTGAATGAACACTTTGGATTTTGTTGTAGTTTGATTCTAGACTAAGAACCAGTCCATGCTGTTTATTTTTTATCTCCATAATTGTAGAATCATGTTTACTTAACATCTTCCCCCAGCTGCCTCAGTAACTGGGCACTCGGAGGCCTTGGCACGGGTTCTGGAGGACAGACAGCAGTTCTGTGAGTGCTGAGATAATACTTGCTGGAGACCTCAGAAAACACAAGTGCCTTCTCCACGGTGCAATTCAGACTTCAGTGATCTCCAGTGGTCAAAAGACATTTACCCTTAATATCAGACAACATTTATATTTTGGTGAAGAAACAAGTTCTTGGATGAGGAATCTGTGTTTCACTCAAATTTATATGTCTGGAGGAAAAAAGCCTTTTTTTTTTGTAAAATATTTAAATTTATATAAGAAAATGTTAGAAAAAAATACGGGGAATGTATATAAAACTTGCTTTATTGCATGGGGCAGGGTAAGTCCAGGCCTAATACTCTTATTAAAGTAAGAGTCAGGTCCTTTATTCTTCAATACAACTGTGCTGTACCTGGTAAAGTATTTTATCTGCTGCTTATGTGTGGAATGAAACCTCAAACAAACCCAAAGGGGGAGGGTAGGGAGAGTGGGCAGGTCGGAAATCAGCCTGAAGATTCTATTAAATACACCCTTTTGCCAACCACAGTTGGCTACTGACATGTTTGTTACAGGAGACTTTAAAACAAATCACGGAAACCACATCTGTCTTCTTTTGTCTCCTTCTCAAGGAAAAATAATCTGGAATGTAGAACTTTTAAAGACTTTAGTTTCATCTTTAGTGGTACCCTGTCTGAGAGGTTTTTTTAAGTCATGGAGTACAACTGTTTTGAAGGATTTATGATACTCTTTTGCTCTCAGTATCCAGGTGGTTTTATTGAAATTATTATTTTATCTTTAACGTGTTTACACAGAAAACATATTGGGGAAAATCTAGTGACTAAAGGCACATGAGATAATAAAACTAGACTTTAAAAAGGTAACTCAAAAGTGAATGGAATCTCTAATATTTGTTCCTTCTTTAGCCCTTCATTTAAAAAATATGGATACCACTCTCTGGAATTTAGATGATTTTCCTATACATTTTCTTTTGAGACAGAGTCTCGTTCAGTAACCCAGGCTGGAATATAGTGGCACAGTCTTGGCTCACTGCAACCTCCGCCTACCGGGTTCAAGCGATTCTCCTGCCTCAGCTTCCTGAGTAGCTGGGACTACAGGTGTGCACCACCAAGCCCGACTAATTTTTGTACTTCCAGTAGAGACGGGTTTTGCCATGTTGTCCAGCCTGGTCAAAGTCCTGACATCAAGTGATCTGCCTCCCAAAGTGCTAGGATTACAGGTGTGAGCCACCCTGCCCTGGCCTATACCTTTTCTAATAGTAGCAACAGTTGTGTGGTTGTGGGGGTGGATGGAAAGGTGTTCTAAAATGGAGGTTTATTCTTGAACTCCATCCCTGCTAGAAGCAATGTACTGTGTGGCCCAGCTCTTAAAGCTCAGAAAACCCCTCTTCCTCTCTACTCAAGGTCCCTCAGCCTGTGCCCAACCTGGGCTCATGGAACCTCACTTCTGAGATGCCCTGGTCTACTCTGTGGAGTTCTTACTGTTCAAAACTGACCTTGCCTATTTTGTGGCATAATAAATATGACTAACTCAAACTTACGCCGGGGCAGTGGCTCACCCCTGTGTTCCCAGCACTTTGGGAGGCTGAGGCGGGCAGATCACCTGAGGTGAGGAGTTCGAGACCAGCCTTGCCAACGTGGTGAAACCCCGTCTCTACAAAAAATATAATATTAGCCGGGCATAGTGGCACGCGCCTGTAATCCCAGCTACTTGGGAAACTGAGGCAAGAGAATCGCTTGAACCCAGGAGGTGGAGGGTTGCAGTGAGCTAAGATCGAACCCTTGTACTCTAGTGAGTGAGACTCCGTCTCAAGAAAGAAAAAAAAAACAACTCATACTTACTATAGATGAAATAGGGACTGTTTTCTTCCTTTCCTCAAGTTTTTTTTTTTCCTTAACAATTAGCTTTGATTATTGAATACACTAGATGATCAAGTCAAGCTTTCTCCATGGTCAATGCCATCAGAGCCTGTTCATCAGGACCTCTTTTAAAAGGCATCTGAACTGACACAATATATACATAATAAAATTAAATAAGAAATCATGTTAGGACACGTCTATTTATTTATAATCAATCCACCATGTATAAAAGAACACTACCAGTTAGTTAGAAGGCAACTGTAAGTCTTAAGTGTTCCCAGCAACTTCGGAATACAAAGAATGAACAACACGCCCACAGTGCACAAATGACCATATTTAACACCTCTCAAAGACTCTGTATAGATCAGGCAGGTTAGCAAGCTGCAGGATATTACCATCTTCTGTGAAATGTTTAGGAGGCAGAATGTGTGAGCGCAAGGCTTTATAGACAATGTGTTCCACAGTCCACTTCCAGGAGTCTGAAATGGAGCCAGGCACTTCACTCTGGAAAACACATTAGATGTCATAAGCCTCCCTGACTGCATCCCAACATATACTGGCATCCTGGCTGATGGGATGTGCACTGGACCTGGAAAGACTTGGTGGCTTGTAATGGGCTGTGTTATCTAGCGTGTTTTTTTTTTTTTTTGAGGAGGAGTTTCGCTCTTGTTACCCAGGCTGGAGTGCAATGGCGCTGATCTCGGCTCACCGCAACCTCCGCCTCCTGGGTTCAGGCAATTCTCCTGCCTCAGCCTCCTGAGTAGCTGGGATTACAGGCATGCGCCACCATGCCCAGCTAATTTGTTGTATTTTTAGTAGAGACGGGGTTTCACCACGTTGACCAGGATGGTCTCAATCTCTTGACCTCGCGATCCACCCGCCTCGGCCTCCCAAAGTGCTGGGATTACAGGCATGAGCCACTGTGCCCGGCATCTAGTGCTTTTGAAGTGCATCTTGTGGGCCAGCCTCTCAGGGATCCCACAGGCCTGAACACAAGAGGATTTTTTTGTTATTTATTTATTTAAAGACAAGGTTTTTCTCTGTCACCCAGGCTGGAGGGCAGTGGTGTGATCATAGCTCAATATAGCCTCAAACTCCAGGGCTTAAGCCATCTTTCCACCTCAGCCTCCCCAAATGCTGGGATTACAGGTGTGAGCCACTATGCCCAGCCAACACGAGCTTTTTAAGGGAAGAAAAGCAGCCACTGCTGTGGGACTGTCTCCTGTGGAACCTTTATTTTCATTCAGGGAGAAAATGGTTTTTGTAGCAGGAGCTGTAATACCATGTCTGATCCTGTACTTGGATGGCAACAGTAGGAAGTACCTAATTTACCTTAAAAACAGCTCTGTAAGCAGTCCTGTTTTCTAATCCCCAGGGAAGTAATGAAAATACTATTGGGGATGATTTTGCGTCATTATTCCTTTTCTCCATGTGAGCCTTAGCTATCCTACGTATAAGAAAATGTTCTTAGCCAGGTGTGGTGGCTCAAGCCTGTAATCCCAGCACTTTGGGAGGCTGAGGCGGGTGGATCACGAAGTCAAGAGATCGAGACCGTCCTGGTCAACGTGGTGAAACCCCGTCTCTAATAAAAATACAAAAAATTAGCTGGGCATGGTGGCACGTGCCTGTAATCGCAGCTACTCAGGAGGCTGAGGCAGGAGAATTGCTTGAACCCAGGAGGCAGAGGTTGCGGTGAGCTGAGATCGCGCCATTGCACTCCAGCCTGGGTAACAAGAGCAAAACTCCGTCTCAAAAAAAAAAAAAGAAAATGTTCTTTCTTGGCCAGGCACGGTGACTCACACGTGTAGTCCCAGCACTTTGGGAGGCCGAGGCGGTGGATCACCTGAGGTCACGAGATCGAGACCAGCTGAGGCAGGAGAATCGCTCCCGGGAGGCGGAGGTTGCAGTGAGCCAAGATGGCGCCACTGCACTCTAGCCTGGGCAACAAGAGCGAAACTCCATCTCAAAAAAAAAAAGAAAGAAAGAAAGAAAATGTTCTTTCTCAGCTGTACTTCCTTTTATTGAAGTAAAATTTCCAATCAAATTAGATAGTTGCCACACAGTTTCGTAAATGTATTCCCTGCCTTCGCCACTGGAATGAGATTTCCCTAGAGGCTTTGGCCAAGAGAACTGAATCTCCGCCCTCTGACCCACAGACTTGGAATCCTCCAGCATGCCAGCTGGACTTCAGCCTCCCATCTGAAACTGGCTCACATTGCTCAGGAGATGACTGTGAACAATCAGGGGTCATACTCTGATTAAAATGGGCTACCCTTTGATTCTTAGAATATTTCAACTCTCCTCTCCAACCTTCCCCAAGATACATATTAATTTGAAAAGCATTATCATCTGACTGGAAAAAGTGACAATGAAACATCAGGAATCCAGACAATCTTTCTGTGTCAAGTTGACCTGTAAGAGGAGTTACAGAGCCTTGTTTTCCTGGCAAGGCAGTGGTCAGATAAAAAGTAAGGCAAAGGCTAAGACAGACTGGCACAACTGACCCAAAATCTGAAAACTAGCAACACACTTCAGACCTAACAGTGGGAGTACATGGACTCTCCAGCCTCAGACAATCTAACTCAACCTCCCATTTCTCACTGTGACGGCTTGTGTTTTTATATTTGACAATTTCTGAGGCCACTCTGGAGGTATGTTCTCCATGAGCAGAAGGAAGTAAAACTCATGAATAAAAGCTGACTATTGTGTTTGAACCTTGTTGGGTACAAAGAAATCCCCAAAATTTTAGAGATGGGCAAGTTTCATTTCCTAAAGATTGTATGGGGGCCTGTCCTGGTCCTGGGGTGCCAATGTGCGTCACCACTGTACCTGCTGGCCTGAGAGGGTCGACTCCTCAGATATGTACTGCTTCCGGATGGAGTAGAACATAGCACACTCTTTACTGAGGCTTTCAAAACATTCCTTTTCTTCGTCCCAATTTACCTGGTCCAAAGAATTCAATACCTCAAAACAGGTACATGTTTAAATACATTTTCATTCTAAATGGAGATCACAGACTACTTAAAGCTAAAAATCTAGGTGTGACATTTTAGGCATTAAAACTATAAATGGGACTGCTGAATATTAGTGGGGATGAGAGGAGACCCTCAACTGTCCTACCCGTATCATCTTTATCATTCCAGATCAAAGGGTGGTCAGGTGCCCTTTCCCTCCAGCACACATGCATGTACCAACATGCTTAGTATCTGCTTGCACTGACCTCAGTGGCTAGTCGAAGAATGAAGATAGGCAGTCCCTCCAAAGGGGGCACATAGTTGTCAATCAGAAGGGGTAATCCAATCAGGTTCCCTTCCTGCTTGCAGGAAAAAGGACAAGGGAACAAAAAATAATGCTGTTATACTTTAAACAAATCCCATTTCTCCAGTGCTTTCCCAGGCCTTGTCCTCATCCCTGCCACTCTGGGTGACCATGTTACTTGATTGGGCTGGGCACAGGGGACAGAGCAAAACACTTAAAAAGAATTTTTCATCCTGACACACAGCAGAACAACCTTTTCTTTGGATGTGTTCGTGATTAGAGTGTATCAAGATGGAGAGCCCCAAAGATCAAGAAGTAAGAAGAAATGGGAGCAAATGGCATAATCTCACTAACAGTGGCCTGCAGGGGTTCAGCTCTCCATGTCTGGGTCCTTCACCCTCGGAGCAGGAGAGGAATGAATGGATAATAGTACAGTTACGTAACCTAGAAATGCAAATAGGGAGTGGAGAGGATGTCATGTATGTCACTTGCTGCTTCTGAAGGGAGGCCTAGTCCTCACCTTGGAACTTTTTTTTTTTTTTTGAGCTGGAGTCTCGCTCTGTCACCCAGGCTGGAATGCAGTGGCACAATCTCAGCTCACTGCAACCTCCACCTCCCTGGTTCAAGCCGATTCTCCTGCCTCAGCCTCCCCAGTAGCTTGGAATACAGGCACCTGCCACCACGCTCAGCTAATTTTTGTATTTTTTTTTTTTTAGTAGAGATGGGGTTTCACCATGGTGGCCAGG